TAGGCTGCCATAATGTACTCAAGTGGAGCAAAGCACCCAGGCTTGGCAGTGGAGAAAAAATAATCCCAATGTGTGCACGTTCCTGCAGGACAGCCAAGTAGGAGCCCTGGAAGGGGTGCCAGGAAGGCTGACCTGCAGGACAGACATGCCCAAGTCCTTTGAGGAGGTAGGCCCTGCTTTCTCCCTTGTGGTTACCTGTAGCCAGAACCTCTCAGAGAAACATGAGCAATCCTGGGATGTGGACACTGAAGGACGAGCTCTGCCAGAGCTATCCCATGGCCAAAGGCTCTCAGCTCCATGACTGCTGCAGCTCTGACTCTGGCTAATCTCTGTGGCTAGCCCCCTGCCAGCTTAAACATCTGTGGGGGTTTGTGGTCGTCTGCAGATCCCAGAAGACCACTGTGAGAATGAGTGCTCCTCCAGTCCTTTCAGCCACCCCTTCTCCAGGAATTGTTCAGGGCTGGGAACCAACCCTAGCATTCCTACACCCCAGCCAGGGTTTCCACCTTCCTCCCCCTTCAGCCTCAGTATCTATGTCTTTTATCCATCCACATTGAGTGTTTTTATCTGAAGTTATATTCAAATTATATTGGATTAGTCAAAATCCTAGTCTCTTTTTGTGGGAGTGGCACTTCCAGACTGCATCCAGTTAACCATCTTGCTCTTTCCAATTTTTTTTTTAAATATTCTGTTGATGCGCATTTAGGTTGATTGCATGAGTCTCCTATTGTGAATAGTGCCGTAATAAAAATACGTATGCAAGTTTTTTTTTTTATTTTTTGATATAATACTTTCTTTTCCTTTGGATATATACCCAGTAGTGAGATTGCTGGGTTGAATGGTCGTTCTATTTTTACTTCTTTGGAAGATTTCCATACTGTTTTCCATAGAGATTTTACTAATTTACATTTTCCCCAACAGTATATAAGCATTCTCTTTTTTTCACCCTCTCACCAACATCTGTTGTTTTTAGACTTTTCAATAGTTATAATTCTGACTGGTGTAAGATGGCAACTCACTGTAGTTTTAATTTGCATTTCTCTCATGATTTGTGATGTTGACCATTTTTTCAAGTTTATTGGCCTCTGGTATGTCTTCTTTTGAAAAATATCTGTTTATGTCTTTGGCACACTTTTTAACAAGATTATTTGGGTTTTTGTCATTTTATTTGTTTGAGTTCCTTTTAGATTCTGGATATAGGTTCTTTGTAGGATGCACAGTTTGCAAATATTATCTCCTATTCTGTAGGTTATCTTTTCAATTTGTGTGATCTTGGGATTTTTTTCTTGAGATTTTTTTTTTATTACTGATTTCACTATTCAGAATTGGTCTGTTCAAGATATCTATTGGTTTGTTAAAGATATCTATGTCATCATGGTTCAATCTTTAGAGGCTGAACATTTCCAGAAATTCTTTTTTACACTAGTTTTCTAGTTTGTGTGGATAGAGTTACTCATAGCTGTCAGTGATTACCTTTTGCATTTCTGTGCCATCAGGTGTAGTATCACTTTTAAAATTTATGATTGTGGTGATTTTAATCTTCTCCCATTTATTCTTTGTTAACCTACCTAGTGGTCTATCAATTTTGTTTATCTTTTCAAAGAACTAATGCTTTGTTTTATTGTTTGGTTTTGGTTTTGGCCAAAACATTATTTAGCTCTGCTCTGATCTTTGTTATTTTTTGCTTTAGGCAGCGTATGATTGAATCTTTTTTTTAAATTCATTCCATCAGTCTATATATTTTAAGTAGAGCATTTATACCATTTACTTTCAAGATTAATATTGTTGCATGAAGATTTCTTCCAATCATAAAGTTGTTATCTAGTTGCTTTACAGTATCAACAGTGTAACTGTTTTATGACTCTGTATTATACTTTTGTATTCCTTTATAAGACAAGTATCATCCTTCCCTTTCCCTGTTTAGAACTCCTTTTCTTATAGGGTCGGTCTAGTGATGATAAATTTTCTCAATATTTGCTTTTCTGGGCCTATGGCCCTTCTGCCTGCAGGTTTTTTTATTTGGTTGTGCAGTTCAATCTCCATTCCAGTAGGTGGCTCTTATGGATAAGGGGTGGCTTACTCTTGATACCTCAGTGAGGAGCAGAAGTACCTGCCTTACAGGTGAGGAGCTCTGGGGGGAGCTCCTGGTGTAATACACTGAGGTCTCCACAGTGGGGCAGGAGGCTGCACCACCTGCATGTTCTGAGCACGCAGGAAGGAACATGATTTGCTTTCTTATCGCACCCCTGTCCTAGGCCTCATGACTTACTTGGTTCAGATGGAAACTGTCTTTTATCTTTAGGCAGCAATGCACTGAAGGCCACAGAAAACACCTGCCCTGTGGCTGCCATCAAACTGGCCTTGAGGCAGGACCTCTTTCCTCAGCTCAAAACAGACAGCTCTGTGGTTTGCCCGTATTCTACTGCAGGAATGCTGCTTCTCCATGCAGGGAGAGTTATGGGCCTCACCCTTCATGGAAGCCCAGACCAGTGAGCCCACTGTCAGTGGAGGTGCAGCTGTTCCCATAGTCCTGGAAAGGCTGTCTCTAAGCACAGCAGTTCCAAGCTCCAGCAGGAATAGGGGTAGCTGCCTCTACAGCAGTGGATGGCAGCTTGGGAGAATCCCTCTCTCCAGATACACTTCTAGATACCAGTGCCACCTGTCTGCTGGGACACAACCACATTCCTTCCCTACAGAAACTAGCACCACACCTGCATCTTCTCAACGAAGGGCACAGTAAGCTTCTGCTCATTAGCAGGGAGCTCTTGGGCAGAGAAGAGTATGTGATCTGGTTTCCTTTGTCCTGAGGAACACTTTGGTGCACTGCACTCTCCCTACACCTTGGAAGGGCCCATCCTGAGGCTTAGATGTCTGGGAATCCTGCAGCTCCTCAGGGTCCTGGTGATTTGTGATTGCTGCAGTCTGAGCAGGTTCTAGGGAACGTTTGCAGAAAACTAGTATTACAGACACAAGAGCTGAGACTCCCTGGCAGGATAAAGGCCCACAATGGTTGCAGACCATAATGGTTGCATACCCTATGGCACCTGTGGCCTTGGCTAGGGTCTGGGTATTGTGTGAGCAAACCTGTGTGAGCTGGCCACATGGTGCTTTGTCCTCAAGAAGTTCCCACATCACCTCCCACAAAAATTGCTTTGGCTTACAAAGGAAGAGGGCATCTCCAACAGTTAGCAGTTGGCAGTCTGCCATAGAGGTGAGGGGAGCAAAAAATATGCCCACATTCCCTTTCACAAGGCTTCAAGCTCCCTGGGGTTCAATCTCTGCCAAACCCTTGCTTCTTTGATTTTGTCCAGCTTCTTCCCACAGATTCTCTGACAGGTTCTGGAATTCTTCTCTCAATATTCTACTTGGGCCATGATTGCTCACCTTTAAGTTGGGCCCTTCTTAAAAGAACGGGCATCTGATGTTTCTAGTCAGCCATCATTTCCCAGCTGCTGGGGTGTCCCCTCCGATCACTATTAATTTACATTTAGTTAGGTTCTTGTTTTTCTTTGTTTGGGATGCTATAACAAAAATACCATAAACTGGGTGGCTTATAAACACCACAAATTGATTAATCACAATTCTGGAGGCTGGGAAGTACAAGATCAAGGTACATTTGTTGTCTGGTGACAGCCTGTTTCCTACACAGCAGTCTTTTTGCTATAATGATACATGGAAGAACAGGAAAGGGGTCTCTCTGGGATCTTTTATAAAAGCCTCACTCTCATGATCTTTTACAAAGTCTCCATCCTCATGATCTAATCACTTCCCAAAGGCCCTACCTCCTAATACCATCAGCTTAGGGGTTAGGATTTCAATGTATAAATTTTGGGCGATATATTCAGCTCACTGCATTTCCACTTGGAGCCCTTATAAATCATGCTGCTGTGAACATTTGTGTAAAAATCTGTAAACATACATTTTTATTTATCTTAAATACCTAGGAGTGAAATTGTTGGTTCATATGTGGGTATATATTCAACTTTGTAAGAGTCTACCAAGTATATGTCTGATGTTATGGTCATCAGAGCAACATGATAGTTAAGTTCATTAACATACTCATTGCAGTGGACTGACTTTTCTATGATTCAGCTATCCCACTCTTAGGCGTATGCCCAAGAGGAAGTCATAATGCCCTTGCATGAAGCTTGTATGCTAATGTTTTTAGTAGTACTTTTTGTAATAACCAAAAGGTGGAAACAACAAAAACTTTCATGAAATGATTAATGAATTAACAAAATATTTCATATATACATATTATTATTAATCAATGAAAAGAATGAAGTAGTATACATGCAACAACACAGATAAACCTTGAAAATATACCAATTGAAAGAAGACACAAGACCACATATTGTAGGATCACGTTTCTATGAAATTTTAAAAATAAGCCTATCCATACAGACCAAAAGTTGATTACTGGTTGCCAGGGGTTTGAGATTTGAAGAGAATGGAAGCTGCCTGTAATGGGTACAGGATTTCTATTTTGGAAGATAAAATATCCTAAAATTTTTAAGTTGGCAGAATTGTACAACTCTGTGACTATCTTAAAAACCACAAAATTGTATGCTCTAAAGAGTGTATTTTATGATATGCTAATTATATCTCAATAAATGTTTTATAAAATTGAATTTACAAATCTGAAAACCAAGTCAGATTTGTATTTATATGTATCCAGAAAATCAATTCATGAATAAAAATGTTCAGTCCATTTTGATATGCATAACTATACAAAATTTCTGTTATAATCTGTTATATAAAATATAATAACATGAGAAAATTATATCCTCTAATATTCTAGAATAAACTTCAGTAACACTGCTTCTGAGGTTTCTTAAAATTTTATGACTACTTACATTTTGGAATTGTGGTAATTCAAAATTGTTTTGCAATTTTTTTATTACTCAAGTAAATTATTTTATTTTGCTATGCACAATCAGCTTTTGTTATTTACAATATAACTAATATCAAATTCTCTGTAATGCATTTCTGACTTACCTTGTCAACACTGCGTGATGTTTTCATCTACAGCTGCGCAGTCACTGCCAATTTATTCTGTAGAATACCTCACAATTGCATGTCTCCTGCACAGAGAGATATAGTTGAGTAAGAGCCATTTAAATCCTCGGCATCAAAGTAACGCCAAATCATCATGCTTTGATATTCTTTCATGTTCGACCATTACATTTCTAAGTATAAGATTTCTACTCTATGACAAGATTGTAGTAAGTTTTCTGTATTGGCCATTTTCTGTATCCAAAACAAGAACGTGGGAATTCAGACCTTTTTTCTCTCCTGTTATTCTTAGAACCTTCATCCCTAGATGTATTTTGCTCATTGGGCTTTCCAAAATTATATACTGCCATGTTTAATACTTTGATTTTAAATGAGAATAGACAGGAAGAAAATTAAATCCTCAGTTATTTTTCACACTGCATGATCTTTTATTTCTGCTCTAAACTTCAGTTTACTGAGTAATTTTCCCCTAGCTTTATCGAAGTATAATTGAAAAATGAAAATTATGTATATTTAAGTTGTACAATATAATACTTTGATGTATGTGTTATATGTATACATTGTGCTATAATTACCACAATCAAGCTAATTAATATATCTATCACCTCACATGACTATTTGTTTGTTTGTTTTACTGTGTGGTGAGAACAGGCTTCAGCGTGTGGTGAAAGTATGAAATACAGTATTATTACATACACTCACTGTGCTGTACATTAGATCTCATCTTGCATACTAGTTTGTGCCCTTTGATCAAATCTACCCATTTCCTCCAGTCCCCTACACCCTGGTAACCTCTATTATGCTCTCTGCATTTTTAGATTTCACATATAAGTGAGATCATGCACTATTTGTCTATGTCTGGCTTATTTAACTTAGCATAATGTAACCCAGGTTCATGGATGTTTGCACACTGAAGGATTTCCTTCCTTCAATTTTGCATTCTGTATGCAATATTAGTATGTACGAGGGGGTAAAAAATGTGGCATATTTTCTTACCATACCGTATTTTATTTAGCCATTCACTTCACTTAATTTTCTTTTTCTTTTTTTTTTTTTTTTTTACTCTGAAGTCTTGCTCTATCACCCAGGCTGGAGTGCAGTGGTGTGATCCCAGCTCTTTGCAACCTCTGCCTCCTGGGTCCAAAGAATTCTCCCACCTCAGCTTCCTGAGTAGCTGAGACTACAGGCAGCCACCATCATGCCTGGCTAATTTTTGTATTTTTAGTAGAGATCGGGTTTCACCATGTTGTCTAGGGTGGTCTTGACCGCCTGACCTCAGCTGATTTACATGCCTGGGCCTCCCAAAGCCTGGAATTACAGGCGCGGACCACTGCACACAGCCTCTTCAACAAAATTTTAACCAGAGTATTATTGCATTCTCCCATGTGGCAGGCATTACCTCTGGTACTAAATTAATTAATATTCCCCACCAATAATTTTAACTACAATTTCTGAAATGATTACATGCATTTGTAATGCAATTGTTCATTCCGAGTTGGTTTTACCTTTACTGAAAATTGATTGGTAAAAAACTCAACTATTACTGTTTTCATTTTAAGATGCAATTACATGATAGATGAAGCTGAACATGTTCCATGTGCTTTTACTATTTTTCATTAAAGCAACAACTATTTATTGAAAACCTACCACTCTTGGCGTTCATCCTAGGTGCCAGAAATACAAAATCATTAATGCTGCTTTTGACTCTTTTATAGTTTTGTGAAAAATCATTTGCATTTAAATGTATGCTAACCATACAATTAGGTAAAAAACATACCCCAGGCCTCTATGCATTTACATTTACCAAATTTTTCAACTTTAACAAATATTACTAAATTTGTAACTATTAAAATTTAAGATTCATATATAGATCAGACATGATTTATAATTGTAAGAATCATTACAAACACAACTACTCTTTTTTTATGCTCCAAAGGCTGGGCTATCTAATGACAGCAAATAATTATTTTTGGCCAAAAAAAAAAAAGAGTGAACATTTGTGTTTAAAACCACTGACCTAGTTAATTCTACATAATCAAATCAATTAAATAACTGATCTACTGTTGCATAAATAGGGTATAAATGATTAAAAGTATTTGTAGGTCTCTACTGATATATTGTTTGCTTATAAAGTCATAGAGAACATAAAAATAATTATGCTAATTACCTTAATACATTTTGTTAATCAGATTTAAATGTATGTACATGATCTGTAAAAGGCAATGTTAATTTCATTCAGTATGTTGTATGTGTGATTTCTACTAATAGTAGCCTATGGTTTTATTATTTTAAATAAAATTGTGATAAAAATGCTAACTCTTTTTTTGTTGTGAGTTAAAATATTAAGAAACACTTTGTCAAAAGTTTTTAAAAACTCGTTTTACAAATGCACTTTTAAGATTCCTTTCTGGTTTTAAGTGAAACATCAATAATATTGTCATTTTCACATTTAAGATTCACATGGACTTTTTGCCTCTGACTTCACTGTAGAAAGTCAAAGGTGCCAGAGGGTGACCCGCCCTTCTGCTGTTACTCTTGAGCTAATGGCAATTATTTTCATTCTAAGTTTATAGGGCACCAGCATCTCAGTGTATGTTTTGGCAGTTGAAACTTTGCCATTTAAAGGTTAGAATCTCTTTTGAGAGGAAAACAGAGAAGCACTTCCATATTATAAGATATTTTTTAACTTTCCAAAATATGTGAAAATAGCATTAAATCATAAAACTTTTCAATTTAATGTAACACACTTTGTTTTATTAATAATTAACTTAATAACCTAATAATCTATGTCCATTATCAAATACTGAACATAAAAAAATGGGCAAAAAATAAGAACAGAAAATTTAGAGAAGAAACTCAAAATGGTAGCCATTACATAATGAGATACTCAAAATTATTAGTTATCAGGAGAAAATGGAAATCAATACTGAGGTATTATTTTATCTTTGAGGAGCTATCCACAATTCAAAAGCTGACTAGGTATTTCTAGATGTGGATGTTTAGAATCATTCATGTACATCAAATAAGAGAGGTTTTCAGAAATCAGTAATAAAAATATGCTTTGAACTGGAGAAAATGACTAACTTAATTTTTGCTACTTGATATCCAGAATAAAAGGTAAAGAAGAAAGGTAAAACTAGTTAATTAGGAAATATACAATTATAATGAAGATATAGAACAAGATCATACTATTCAAATAAATTTAAAACAAAGCTTTCTGTTAATTTAATTTCAATGCATGTTTTTGGCATCTCTCTACGTGTCTTTCTATCTATATGTCTATACCTATACCGACATCTATATCTGTGTCAGGTTTCATCTACATTCTATATCTGTATACTTTTTAACTTCATATATAGATTATCTGCATATACATGCCTGTCAAGATGGCATTCTCCCATATTGCAACAGGTTTAATTAGTTTTCCTTTGTTGATCAACGGGTTGCACTGGTAATGTATGAGAGAACAGGCAGTCAACAATTTTGGTGGTTTCAGTGAGATCTAATAAAATTTTTGCCATCACTCAGACACAGATTAGCCCCTCAAGAACTTGGATTCCAGTGTTGTGGTTACTCTCAAACCATAGAACTGAACTCTGATTTCCTTATATCAAGCTCGCACATGCTGAGCATGGCAGTTAGAAAAGGATAAATACTGTATCATCTCAATTAGATAATACTCTGAAAAAGGCAGAAATAGTGAGAGTAAAAATATGAGTGGTATGTTGGGATGTTGGAGGATGAGGACAGGGATGAAAAGAACAGTGAATATGTAGGGGAGGGAAATTATTCTGTATGATACTGTCACGGTGGAAAATGACATTATATGGTCGTTTAAATCCACAGACCTTATAGCACATGATGAGCCTTAATGTATGCAAACAAAAAAGTCATTTAGGAGATTAGAAGATTCTAGGAAGCAATGCAGACTTTGACAAGAGAACGTAATGGTATTTACAAATACATGAAACAACCTCAGTGAGAAGGGGGGCAGCTGCTGAATTACGTAACTTTGGAAATGAGAAACCTATGTAAGACTAAAGGCAAAAGAAACATCGCAAAAGCATTCTACTGCCTAACGAAGTTTTTCTACTAGGGATGTGGGGGACAGTCTTGATTCTTCTTCTACACATGTACATTGGAACTGAACAATAAAATAAATAGATGGTAAATCATGAAAGTAAAGTTTTTTTTTTTTTGTTGAAGTGGGACTTTACATAAAAGTAAGGGCGCGGTGGTTCACGCCTGTAATCCCAGCACTTTGGGAGGCCGAGGCGGGTGGATCACGAGGTCAAGAGATCGAGATCATCCTGGTCAACACGGTGAAACCCCGTCTGTACTAAAAATACAAAACATTAGCTGGGCATGATGGTGCGTGCCTGTAATCCCAGCTACTCAGGAGGCTGGGGCAGGAGAATTGCCTGAACCCAGGAGGCGGAGGTTGCGGTGA